CTATCTATCTATCTATCTATCTATCTATCTATCTATCATCTATCTATGCAGCCAACGGCTGGGTTATAAATCTTTCGGCTGGGCCATTTCTTTAAGTTCAATGGCTGTCCAGCGCCAGGTGTGAAATCTGGCTAAGAAATGTTAGTTTTATTATTAATCAGCTTTACCTTTGATCATCTAGGGCTGTGCAGGGTTGAAAGAACTGCTTAATGAAGTTCTTGGAATTTTGTTCCTTTGGGAAAAAAGGAAGCCCAATCATAGGCCAATTTTGTTTATTTAATTTATATCTCACCTTTTATTTATATATATATATACACACATACACACACACACACACACATACATACATATACACATACACACACACACACACACATATATATATATGGATCTTTGGTTATTTGAATTTTCTCCTGCGTAAAATTGGAAGTATCTTGGCGACATTTCAACGAAATCTCATTCATCATCTTCAGGCTTGTGTCTTCAGCTTTGTGCTTCTTGGAGTAATGTGAGCTTGCAGCTGTTTTTTCTTTTAACTGCCAGCGGGAGTGCGAGTTAGCTAAGACTAACCTGAACACAGCCAAGCCCCCACCTGAACAGAACACACCCCCAGCCAATCAGAACACAGCCAGGCCCCCAACCAATAAGAACACCCCCCCACCCAATCAGAATACAGCCAAGCCCCCACCCAGTCAAGCCGCACTCCCACTGGCAGTTAAAAGAAAAAACAGCTACAAGCTCACATTACTCCGAGAAGCACAAAGCCGAAGACACAAGCCTGAAGATGACGAATGAGATTTCATTGAAATGTCGCCAAAATACTTCCAATTTTACGCGGGAGAAAACCCAAATAACCAAAGATCCACATACAAATGCCTGCAAAAACCTCAGAAAACACACACACACACACACACACACATATGGCTTCCCACCCAAAGTTCACCTAGCTGGCTTTCATGTTTAAGGAGGGACTAGAACTCCCAGTCTCCTGGTTTCTAGACCAAACTAGACCAAAATTTTGATCACATGACCCTGGGGACACTGCAACGGTCATAAGTGTGAAAAGCGGTCATAACTCACTTTTTTAGTGCCGTTATAACTTTGAACGGTCATTAAATGAACTGTTATAAGCTGAGGACTTCCCGTACTGTAAAAGTGAGGGGAGGGGAGGAAGATATGTAAAGATAGTCCTTGACTTACAACCATTTCTTTAGCGATCCTTCG